GCCCACCGGCCGGCGGGGCAGGGCCTCCCCTGTCTGCGTCAGCCGCAGGTGCCCGCTCCTGCGGGGTCTGACGGCTGGGGCCCTGTGGGGGTGGGGCGCGCCCAAGGGACCAGCTCCAGGGCCTGGTTCCTGGTGAGCCTCTGGGCTGCCTGGGGGTCGTCGTTCTCTCTGCACGTCCACGCGTCTGGAAAATCCCATTAACAATCTTTTAACAGCCTGGCTCCTCCCAGGTCGGCCCCTCGTCCGAGCACCGGGAAGCCCCGCTCAGGAACACGGAGGGACAAAGGCGGAGAGCCAGGAGGGCCGGCCGCCTTCCCTGCCCCGCGGGGTCGGCCAGACGGGAGCCACGCGTGCCGCGCCAGCCCCGGCCCCGCAGGACGCCGGCACCCCCTCGTCCGGGTCTCCCCGAGTGGGTCCCCGTCACGAGTCCCGCCCGCTCGGCCCGCACGGCCTGGCAGGTGTTGCGACGCGCCGGCGGGCGCAGGCTGGTTCCTCTCTGAGCTCGTCAGGCCTCGCGTGGGCATCTAGTCCCAGCCCGCTGGGGGTGCAGCCTCCCCGGGCCCCCGGGGCTGGCCTGGGCCCCCCCACCCGCACCGCCTCTCTGTCTGCTCGGCTCCAGGACGGCCGAGGAGACTCACGCAGGAGACACGCACAGAGGCGGGTGGGCGAGGCCCCTCGGGGACCTCGCTCCCTCCCCGGGAAGCACAGCCCCCGCTACCCCAGTGGCCAGGCCGCCCAAGGGGGGCACCTGCCAAAGCCTCCACACCAGGCGCTCCGGGCAGGAGGAGCTGGGGAGCCGCAGGAGTGGGGCCATGCTGCGCCCCAACTCCGTCCCCACGGTCACCCCTCCTCTCCGGGCCCCTTGACAGAGCCGGGTGAGGCGGAAGGGCTGGGCGCGGCCGCAGGCGCCGGTTGGGCGCTGCCCCACCCTGTCCTGGGCGCGCGCCGTGAGGGACCGGCTGGCTGGCTGCCCACGGGGCTGCGGAAGGACACGGGCTGATCCCCGAATGACGAGTGGGGGGCAGGCTGGGCCCCGAGCTTCCCGGCGAGAGGAAGCCAGGCCTGACCCCCGGCCCGGGCACGTCTTCCGCAGCCCCGAGCACTGTCCCGGGAGTTCGCCTTCACACCGGCCCCGGAATCGCAGGCGAGCGCGGAGTGACCACGCAGCTGAGAGCCTGACTGTTGTTTCCTGAAGATATTTTCATTATCGGATGAGGATTTAAACGGATTTTTAACCGCCTCCCTAGATAATTCCTCTTAAATGTTTCAATGTTAAGACCTTCCCGGCTTAACGTGCTGCATGGGGTGTAACCGGGCGGTACTTCCTCTGCCGTCTCAGCCGGAGCCGAGAGGGCGGGATCATCATAAAACAGCCCCGCTGGGCCATTGGCTTCAGCCGCCAGGCGAGGCCAGCCTCCTGGGGCCTGCCACCCCCTGACCGCACCCCACCCTCTGCCCCACAGGCCCAGGTACCGGTCACACCTGGGAAGGCCCCGACCCAAGGCCCCTCTCAGGGACGAGGATGTCACGGGTGTGGCCTCGCTCAAACCTGCCCTGCTCCCTGCCAGCCCCCGCAAGACGGGAAGGGCCGTCTGATATCACAGGATCTCCCGGCTCAAGGCCAGCCCGGGCTCCCCGCTGGCCGCCTGGCTCTGACCCTGGACTCGCTGAGCACGGTCCCGCCCTGCAGAGAAGTGGGGGCCAGGGGTGTGCCAGCTCCACGCCCTGGAGCCCCAGAAGCGTGGGGACGGGCCCCCCGGGGGCCTTGTGGGCGTGGGAGCCCTGGGCTGGGAGCCTATCCCGGCTCCCCACTCCTGGTGTGGCTGCCGCGGGGCCTCGCTGAGCAGCGGGTCCTGGAGGCCGAGCGCCTGCGCCCCATCCGTCTCCCACAGGACCCTCCCTGTGAACACCCTCCCTGAGGCGCCCCCGGGGGTCGCGGGCGCGAGCGGCCGGTCGCAGCAGAGGACGTCGGGCAGGCGCCCCCGTGAGGACCCCGAGCCGCCCTCCCTCGGGACCCCGGGAGCATCGCCCCCGGTCGGCGTGGCCCACGCGGTCACTCGGCCTTCTCTGCGCCCGTTGCTCCCGGGGCTCGGGCTGTGTCTCTCCGCTGCCGGCCCCGGAACAAGGCAGCTGCAGCCTTGGTGGGACTCAGCACCTGTGCGTCCAGGTGCCGCACGCGACCCTGCTGTTCTGACCCCACAGCTGGGGACCGGGCACTGGCAGGGGACTCAGCGGCAGGGACCCCTCTGGGCAAAGGCCCGCCGTGTCAGGAGCCCGGGCTGTGCTGTCCTGGCCTCGGGGACGCCGGGGCGAGGCCAGCGCGGGAGAGCAGGTCTCCTAGGCCGGCTCGGGGAGCGGCCCCCGGCCAACCGCCGCGTCCAGCCCACCAGCCGGAGGTGTGGATGTGGCCTCGGCCACAGCGTGCGGCCTTTGTGGACCATTCCGTTCCTAAAATATGGCATGAGTTGCAAAGTGATGATACCTGTGGCAAGAAATATTTATTACGTGCAGGACCATAATAAATACGGCTTTTATATCCTAACAAAACCTAAAAACCCAGAATGTTCTGTGGGCCCCTTTTATGTCTTCCCATTACGGCCGCGGCCCGGTGATTTAGCCCACATTTAGTGGCAGTAAACGTGAGCTACGGCGACGTGCTCCCCGCCATGGGGAGCGTCGGCACACGGCAGCTCCACGGCCCGGGAGACCGGAGGACTGAAACCGCCGGACCTGCAGAACCCAGGCCTTCCGCCTGGGGGACCCCTTCTCACGTCCCTGAGGCCAGGATGCCACCGAAAGATGGGGCGAGGCTGCAAACACGCGTGGGCCGGAGAGTGTGTCGGCTCCTCAGCCTGAGCCGCGGAGGCCGCGGTGTGATTTCCGACCGCGCCGCAGGCGCGGGGCAGCGGGCAGGGCGCGGAGAATGGCTCGTTCCCAGCCAGGAGGCGACTCACCATGGGGAGCACACGGAACGCCCGCGTTTCGAGGCTTCACGGGCAGAACTAGGGGTGACCGCAGACACCCATCTCGGGTGGACGCGGCGGCCAAGCATCACCGGCCCGCAGAAGCCAGCGCCGCGCCCCTTTTGCGGGAGCGGAGAGCAGCCTGCCCCTCCCGTGAGCAGCCACCCACTTGTCTTCACGCCCCCGGCGTCTGTCTGCTGGGGCTGCAGGTCACCTCCCACAGGACGGTCCTTGCGGGGCCAGGACGGGGTTCCAGGGGGAGGGCTGGCGTGCAGACACCCGGGTGCTTCCCGCTCCCCCGACAGCAGCCGCCAAGGGGGGACCTGGCCCGCAGCCCAGGCCTGAGTCCTGACTGGGAATCAAACCGGCGACCGTTTGCTTCGCAGGCCGGCGCTCAGGCCACTGAGCTGCGCCAGCTGAGGCCCATTTGGGATCCCATCGTCCGCGCATCAGGAAGCCCGCCGGCCCCTGCAGCGGGTGCTACTGAGGGCGAAGCCCCGGGGCCTGCCCGGGCTCTGCACTGCAGCCCCCCAGCACCCCTCCCCCGAGGCCCGGGTGGCCAGCAGCCTCCATGTCACACCCCTCCCCACGTGGGCTGGGCAGAGCGTCGCCACGGACGCGCGGCCATGTGAGGGGCCTTCCCAGCCACCGGCACCCTGGGGGTGGGCTTCTGGCCGGGGGGCAGCCCCACAGCAACGCCCCTCGTGCGCCGATGGCCGCGAGCCTGTGCCCTGGCGGGGGCGCTTTCCGTGGCTGTGCCTCTGAGCCCGAGGCACAATGGCCGCGCCTGGCGTCCAACGTGCGAAGCCCTCCAGACGCGTCCTCGCTCGCTGGCCTCCCCACCCGCACGCATCGCGGCCGGCACTGCCTCCCACTCCGTGTCCCTGTTCCCTCACAGGGCGGCTTCTGGTTCCCACCCGGCCCTGGCGGTCGCAGGCCCCACCCACCGGGCCGCGGCCACGTCGGAGCCCGGAGCCCACGGAGGCCCCCCGTGGGAAGGAACCCGCCCACAGCACTGGCACTGAGGCAGGACTCGCCTCAACAGAGTCCTGCTGTGCCCAGCCGCGTCCTGACACGTGGGGCAACAACGTCCTCGCGGGGACTGACTGTGCGCAGTGGGGTCACGGTGCACGAGGGACAAAGACCATGTGTCTGAACGGACGCTCCGCAAACCTTGAAAGGAACGAATGGGTGTCTTGCACCGGGGGTGTTCCCGACCACTCTCCCACCCAGGACTAAAGCTGACAAGCAGGGTTTCTGTTTGATGAGGACCTACAGGGCCTGTGTGCACAACCGTGAACGTTTCTGTGAATTTTTCAAGGTAGAGTACCTTCGGCACAACTTTTTGCTGTTTAAGATTGTGTGGGAAGTCTTAGCCACAAAGGCACACTGGTTTAAAATATTTATTAATTAAAAAAAATTTAAAATTCTTTTATACAAAGATGATGAGAAAAATCTCATGCACACTCTGGGCATACAATAAAAATAACTCAAATATCATTTGATGGTTTTGTACAAAATAAATCTTTTTCCATGGGACCTCGGGCAGGCCGCGCGGCCCCTTCCCCGGCCGGACGCCCCGGGGGTGGGGGGTGAGGGGCTGCGCCTGTGGGGGGTCCGCGCCCATGGGCCCGGACGCTCACAGATGTCGCTAGGATGGACGGTACAGGACTCTATTGCTACGACTCAGAACACCGGACTGGGACGCGAGGACACTTGAGTGAACGCCAGGAACTCCTGAGGAACCGAGGACGCACAGGGAGTCTCAGGTCGTCGGCTCGACTCACGAAAACGCCTGGGGACGGTTTCAGGTGGCGCCTGCTGCTGCTGAGCCACAGGCCGGAGGCGGGTTCAGGATCTGTACACGTTACGAGTCATTTGCATAATTAAAACAACTAAGGGGTCGACACGTCCTGGCGATTAGAGATGCGTCGAACTCTGCCCGTCTCGTACAAAAGAGCTTCAATATGAAACAGTGATCCCGGGCGGGCGGCGCCCTGGGCGGCGCCCCGACCCCGCCCCGCCCCCCTCGCGCCCTCATCTGGGCCTCCGCGGCCGGAGCCTGTCCTCCCTGCCCCGCTTCTTCAGAACAAGGATGAACTGGTGGAAGAACTGCTCCTGGTCCTTCCTTTTCTGAACAAGTCGAAATCTCTGGTCCCGACCATACTTCTGGGCGAACTCCTTAAACGTGGTCCTGAAAAACAAGGCGTTTCTGAGCCCTCCCCGCAGAGCCGGTGGGTCCTGGGTTCGGGGCGCGCCTTCCCCAGCTGCGGGCTGTGGGGGCCGGGGGGCGGGGCATGGGCGGAGCTGGGGGGTGCTGGGCTGGAGGGGCAGCTCCAGGCCTCCAACCCTTGTGTCCGCGCCCCTCCCCCGCTCCCCGCGCTGGGCTGCTCCCCCTGGGCCCCAGAGGGCCCTGACCGCCCCACCGGTCAGCCGATCTCATCGGCCGCCGGAAGCGAGCCTGGCCCCGCCTCTTCGGCCTCCTCTCGCCCGGAGCCCAGCACTGCCCGCGGCCCCGCCCCGCCCCACCCACCGCTGCTTCCCCGCAGGGGCCTCCGGTCCCCTGCTCTCGCCAGCCCCTCCCCCGCCCACCACGCGTCCTTGCGCGGACTCTGCCCGCGGCCTGGGAGAGGTGCGTGGGGGCCGCTGTACGCATTTTACCAGTGGGTGGAGACTATTGGCTGAAAGTCTACAACAGTAACAGTAACAGAGACAGCTCCCGGCCGTCTCCTAATTTAACTCGTCTACAAGGTGAGTGGGTGGGGAGGCCAGTGAGCGCCCCCCCTGTCGCTGCCTCCCGGGCCCCCCTTCCCCCCAGGCGGGTGTCCTTCTCCTGTGCAGGCCCCGCCCCAGCCTCCAAGTCACCCCGGGGGGCTGTTGCCACTGGCTCCCACTCAGAAAGCGACACCAAAGCCCGCGAAGCCCAAGGCCTCTGCCCGGCCGGGCCTCGGGGGCAGGGCCCACCTGTGCCCCGAGGCTGGGGCTCCAGGACCGGCCTCCTGGCCCCACAGCCCTGGGGCCACCCCCGGGGTCACCGCGGGACGGGATGTGGGGAGGCCACAGCCACCCCCCCACCCAGCCCTCTCATCTGACTGAGGCTTCCCCCGCAGAAAACCAGGACTCACGGGTCATTAGACGCGCTGGCTTTTGCAATAGAGGTAATTCATGCTCATTTTCCCACTCAGAAAGTTTCTGTCCTTTAAATACCCGGAGGTCTTATGAGGACTAAGCAACCAAGACTAACTCACGGTATCCAATTACTGACCTGGTGAATTAACCAATTATCAATAAAATATGGAAACCTATATTCATGGAAAGCAAGCATTACTAATGCCCACTTAAAAACTAATGTTGCATTTATGCGTTTTTATTTTTAATAAAAACGCATAAATGTCCACTTAAGAATAATATCCCGATCTAAAAAAATGCATCCGAATCAATCATCTCGTATTATTATAGTTTTAAAATTCTAGAGCTACTACAAGTTCATTATTTTAAATATCGGTCAATTAAAGCTCATTTTAAGAAGCGTTGAGCTCGCGTCCTTTCCTAATTACTGACAGCTGCTTCCCGGGGGGTGCGCTGTGGTCCCCCGATCATCCAGGGCAAGTTCTGGCAGCCGAGCCGCCCGGGCCCATCGGCTGCGTGGGTCCTCAGTTTACGCTGCGGCGCCAGGAACCCAGGGGCTGGGGGTCTAGTTTGCTGTCCTTTGTTTGGCATATTTACTCCTTGGTTGTTAGATCAGAAATCAGGCCGCCTTGCAGGTGGGTCACCTGTGGATTGGTCACTCAGGCCCTGACACGCAGGGCAGGACACAGGGTCTGTGTCCGGTCAGCGCCCGGGGCCGTGTGCCCCGCGGGCAGGGCTGACCACACAGGGAGGGAGAGGCAGGCTCCCCCCAGGGCCCCCAAATCTCACTCCGGACGTCTGCGGACGCCAGGTAACGGGGCCTGCCCGAACGGCCCAAGCCCTCTTACAGGGACTGGGAGTCTCCGGCCCTGGGCGATGCTGGGCGCACCTCCCTCTATACCTGGGCGACACTTTAGATTCTTCTAGAAGCTTTTTGAATTCCTCTTTGGCTAGCAGCAATTTACTCTTCTTTTCCTTGTATTCTTCTTTTATCCTCGTCTTGACAAACTGTTCAAAAATCTGAAAACACACACACCAGAGAAACGCGTCAGGAGGCTGCGGATCCGAAATAAGCCCTCGCGTTTCACACGTGAAACGCAGCGGGAACCGGGGGTGAGCCTTCCTTTCTCGGGGGCTGGAGCCGCACGCTGCCGCCTTCCCGAGGCGTCGCTGCCCCGGCTTGGCCTGGGTTCCCACCGGGGCAGCTGGCGCCCCGCCCCCGCCCCCGGCCCACCACCGGCACTGCGCCGGGGCACCTGGGGACCGGCCTGGGAGCGACCACCGCGGTGCAGAGCTGGTAGTGGCGATGCCCACTCCGGGCCGCTGGGCTCCCGTGTGGAACCCAACCGCCGGCTGCAGCCACATCCGGCCGCCTGTCCCCTCCCAGAGCCAGTGGCACCAACAACGCACCGGACGTCATCTGTCCCAGTCAACTCCTACAGCGATGTCCTGGTCGCATAGGTCAACCCAGAATCCATTCTGCACACCCTGGCCTCCAAAAAGAGCCACGTGTGAACGTGGGGCTCGGGAGACAAGGCCGGCCTCTCCTGGGCGTGTCACGGGGCCCCAGGCCTGACCCTCGGACGCGGCGCGCTCCCCCATTTGCCGAGCTGTGTGCCAGAAAAGCCCTGTTCCTTCCCGGGAAGGACGCGGACCCCCTGGTGGGCGAATCCCTGCAGCCGACAGAGCGCCACGAGGCGGCGAGTCTCCGCTGTGGTGGCTTCCGGAATGATCTTTGCTTCATTACATCAAGACAGCCCGTTGTTCTAATATCAGGAAAGGGGTCATCAGAGACTCTGAAGCCAAAGCCGGGGAAGAGAGGCTTTGTTTCCCACGCTCTGCAAGCCTCACGAACAGGAAAAGGAACACACACGGGAGATCGTTTGAGGGTGTGGGCGATGGGTGAAAATCTTTAGAGATGGGTGAAAATGCCACGCACGGCCCCACGCAGCCACGAGGGAGCCACCCGCGCCGACCCCGCTGGCGGCTGTGGCGGCTGCTGGACCTGGACGCGGGCGCTCAGGGAGTCTCACGTGGGGACAGGGCTCCGCGGCGCTGTCTCTGGGCCCAGCGTCCGTCGGCCGCGGCAAAGCCCCGGGAGGATCAGAAATACAGGCCTCTGGGCGCCTCCCGAGGACCCGGCAGCGAAACCCGGTGTCCACGGGTGGGGCTGGCATGGACAGCGGGACGTGCCGACGGCGCCTTCAAAGCCAGTGGCAGCGCCGGCTCCCCAGCTGTCTCGTCATTTAACTCGTCTACAAGGTGAGCGCGGGGATTCTGTCCAAACGGAAGCGCGTGGCTCCGCAGCGAGCCGGAGGTTCGCTCTATCAGTGTTAACCGGGGAGAGCAGCTCAGGCGGGCGGGGCGTCAGAGCGGCCTGGAGCGGCCCCTTCTCCCCCTGCCCCCGGAACCGCTTAGCCGCCTAATCCCACTTTGCTCCTTCCTCTCCCTTTGCTCTGTTGCTCTACTTAGCGGCTATAATTTAATGTCACAGGTTTTTTTCCCTCTTCAACAAATTATACCGGTTTTATTCTAAGTGGAGCATGACTTTTCAGAAGACAGCCATTGGCTCCCGTCTCCTCATGGCGTGCTCCAGTGCGGCGAGAGGAAACGCCACGTGTTGCCATAGAAACAGGCCCGCTCGCACACCCTTGACCCCCGCTCTCTCTCTAGGCGCCTCTGCTCCGCCTTCCCAGGAGCCTCAGCGTCCGCCAAGAGCACCTGTTGGCAGAGGCCCCTCACAGAGGCCGCGCTGGGTGGTTTTATTCATAAACTGACTGTGTTTTGAGTGCTGGCCAACCACCATTTCCCTCGGCAGTTTGGCCGCAGGTCCACTTCTCCCAGGCTCTGCACCGCCCCCCGGGCGGGGCGGCTTCTCCCAAACGCCGGCATCTGCCGTCAGGACGCTCCTGCCAAGTGCCGGGGCCGCCTGCTCCTGCCCGGCCCCCTCGGGCCTCGCGGCCAAGCGCCAGCCCGCTGAGGTTCCCGCGGGGTGGTGTCTCGGGGGTGTCGGCAGGCTGTCCCCAAGCAGCAGATTCCCGGTGTGAGCTGACGTTCTAGTCTGACCGGTCCGCAGAGCTCACACCCAGGCGCAGTCAGGACGCCCGGCCCGGGAGGCGCCGCCCCTCCCCGGTGAGTGCCTGCCCCGCTGGCCACGGCCGGCGGGGGGGGCCCAGCTCTCCCAGCTCCCCTGGTTAGTCCGGGACGGCCTTGTCCCCAAGGCAGCTGGGGACCCTGCCCCACGCAGGAACCAGCTGAATTCCGCAAGCACACAGAGCCCCGGGTGGTACCGGTCACCGAAGAGATGTGGCCTTCAATCATCCCTGGGGCTTTTCTTTGAAGGCTGAGGGGTCCTACTTCTTCAGCTTCCTTTAAAAGGGCTGAGAGCTGCTGAAAACATCGCCGGCCGGAGAGCAGAGCACCGACCACGACAGCAGGCCAGCAGACGCGCGCCCCACCTCCGAGCCCACGGCGGGGCGTCCCAGCCAACCGGTGCGTCGTGACGATGGCTCAAGCGCTTCGTCACAAAAATAGGCAGGCTGTCCACCATGCGGCCCCGTGGCTGACTGGCTGTGCTTCCTGAGGTTTAGTATTTCCGCCCAATAGTAATAAAAAGGCGAACTGCCACCCACAGCCACAGTCTTCCGTTGTCCCCAAGCGCAGGAAAACCGCCCGCGTGACGCTGCGCTTGCGCCAGGCCCTGCCTGCTGGGCTTCACTGACCCCGCGCTGGCGGCTGCCTGCAGGGCCTTCCCGGCCGATGACAAGGCTGAAGTCAAATTGTGCTTGCTGTCCCCGTGCTGCCTGAGGGCCTGACGGTCCCCACGTGGCCACGGCCACGGGGCCCGCCCCGGAGTGGCGCTCCTGGCTCCTGCCTCCAGCGGCTGCCCCCGACGAACCGCTTTCCTTCTGCGCTTGAAGGGCCGGGGTGGGGCCAGGGAGAGGGGACACAGAAATGGGATCCTTCCCGAATGCATCTCGGGACCCTTGGCGAACGTGCTCCTGGGCCTCCAGGTCCCTGCTGGGCTGCGCGGCTTCCTCGCCCCGTTGGCCCTGCTGGCACAGCCGGCCCCTCTGCGGACCAGCTCTGACTCCGGGGCCCTGTGACGCCGCCCTGGCTTTTCCGGGGACGTCCTTCCTTTCCTCGGGCACCCACGGTCCCCTGGGCCCTCTCCTGCTTCACCGTCTGCGCAGCCGAGCTCAGGTCCGGCCACCACATTCATCGGGGACGCGCTCACTACGCAAGCGACGGCCACGACCGCCCTGCGCGCGGCGACTCTCTGTCCACAGACCCCGGGCCGGAGCGCGTCACGCCTCCCACGGGCCACACGCGCCACCTGCCCGCCACGCCCCCGGCACGCCATTCTCACGCTGCACCCTGGGCTGTTGCCAGTCCCCCCTTACCTGTTTCCGCTCCTCGGAGTTCAGCAGGAGGTAGCGGGGGTCAAACACGATCTTGTGTAACTCCTTCTCCCAGGTGGAAAACGCAGACACCTGCGGGGAGACATGCCCCGGGCTGCCGTCAGCCCCCGCCGAGCCCGGAGCCCGCGGAGACGGTCGGTGAGCGACCGGCCCTGCCCGCCCAACTCCTGAGAAGTCGGTGCTGGGAGCCCGCGGGACCCGAGTCCACGCTCGCGGCACTGGCTCCGCCGGGGTGTCTCCCGGGGCCGGCAGCGCCTCTGCCCGGAAGCCGGTTCCACCCGCGAGCCATGACATCCAAGGTCGTCCCATCTGGAAGGAGGCGGGACCCCGTGACCCTCTCAAGCACTTGGACCCATGGAAAGGGCTAAGGATTCAGGGACGATAAGCCGAGGCCTGACACCAGGGAGCCCGCGGTCCGGGGCAAGAGGTCAGTGAGGGGTGACCCCCTGAGGCCCCCGCAGGCACTAAGCGCACGCAGAGAGAGGCCTCTCCACCCGCCAGGGAGAGGCTTTCCAGAACGATGGCTGTTTCCGGGCCATGAAGACTCCCCCCGGCCGGGGAAGGGGCAGGAGAGGCCGAGCCGACAAGCAGGGCCCCCCCCGGGCAGACTCGGGACCGGGACCTTGTCCCCAGAGCCCCGGGAGAGGAGGGGGCAGGCGAGGCCTGCGTGTCTGGGAGGCCTCCGGGGGCCTGGGCACGGGGACCCCCAGGGGCAGCGCCCACAAAACCCCCTTCACTCGCACGCCTGCAGCGGGCGGAACACCTCCTGGTAGAGGACACGCGCTCTGCTGGGCCCGTCACAACACACATGTTGTGAGTTGATGTCTCTCCTTAATAATCCAATTGAAGCCTTTTTAAATATTCACACGTTCTTTCATCAGCAGGACAGCCCAGTGCCACGCGGGGATTTTCTCAGCGGGCTGAGGACCGGGGAAGGGTGGCCCCAGGGACCGGGGCGGGGGCCCTGGGCCGGGCCGCGCAGGAGGGCTCCCTGGCCCTGTGGTAACCGAGGCCATGGGCCGCGGGGGCCGCCGGGGGGGCCGTCCCCGGCTGCGTCCCGGCCAGCCGAGCACCGCGCTGCCCCGTGCGGGACCCCCTGCCCTAGGCGGCCACCCCGGCCAGCAGAGTCCCAACCCCCGCACCCCACGCCCCGCGGCTCCCCCACTCCACCCGCGGCGCCCCTGCAAGGGCGACCCTCCCACCGAAGCCCCGCAGGGGCGGCCAGGGTCTTGAGCACGAAGAAGAGGGAACACGGACGAAGCTGGCTCCAGCCTCAGTCCCCGCTTCCCAGAGCCTGTCTGGGCGGGGGCGCGGGCCTGCGTGGCACGTCCGTGTCTGGGGGACACCGGCTGCGTCTAAGCAGTGGGGTCCGAGTCTGGCCGTGGCTGAGAAGGGCAATCGCGAGTCTCCCGCATGCGCCTGCTGCCCACGGCGACAGCCCTCCCTGCGGCGTCCGCCTTCCCGGCCGAAGGCTGTTGTTGGGAGTACTCGACGACGCTCCAATCCCAGGAGGAGCCGAGGCCGTCCGGGCGGAGGAAGGGAGGCAGGTGGCCGGGGGGGGGGGGCTCCCGCGGGCCCCAACGCGGGCATCCGCTGTCGGCCTCCCCGGGCGGCCAACGCCGGCAGGTGCCCCTTCACTGCGGGGGCACGGGGCTCCCCTCGGACGCCTCTGGGGCACCTGGGGACCGGCCTGGGCCGCGCCCCTGCGTGTGGCTGTCGCTCCGCACTGCCGCCCTCATCGCTGCCTGCCTGGCCGGATCGGGAGCCCGGCCAGAGCAGCTGCCAGTGCAGCCGGGAGCCCGAGGCTGGGGTCCTGGGCGGCAGAGGGGCCGATCTGCATCTCCGATGGAAATCCAGTTACTTCAGAGGCTAATGGTTGTCACCAGATTTGAGCCTCAGACCCGCTGCGTGGACGGGCGCCCCGTGGGCGGGCGCTGTGTCTCTCCCTGGCCTGAGACCACCGCCCCTGCCTCAGGGCCCAGAGGCCAGAGGCCACGGCAGGGCCCTCGCCTGCGAGCTTCCCGGTTCACCCGCTGTCTCCACCTCCTGCCCCGCGCCGGCCCCAGGACCGCTCCCCTCTGCCGCCCACGGCCCGGCTCACCCCGAGCCCCGCCGCCTGGACTCTCCTCCGGCCCCCTGCAGGCGCCGCTCACGGCCCGAGGCTGCCCAGTGCCCGCCTTTCTGGTCCTCCCCTCCTTTCCCTCCCCTCCCGTGGGCAGGTTCTGGCCGATAACAAACACCAGTCTCGGTGATTAGCGTTCACACCATTACCCTCTTTACCTAATTCCCCGGAACCTGCGGCTGTGTCTTCTGTCCCCGGCTCCCGAGCTCCTGACAGTGAGCAGTGGCTTGAGAGGGACGCAGCCCAGATGGATGGACCCCGGCTGGCAGGTGGGGCTGTTCCCAGCGCGCCCCTGATGGCGAGGGGGCGTCACCGTCTGCGTCTCCTGCAGGCGGCCCCGAGTCAGGAGCTCGGGTGGAGCCGCAGTGCCTGGGAGGGGACCCCGGGCAGACCGGAGACTGGCACGGGGAAGGGGGGCAGCCGCGGTGGCACGGGACCCCCAGGAGGGCCGTGGAGAACCCGCCGGAGCCTGCCTGACGTTTGTCACCCAGGGACAGGGAGTGGGGGGTCTCCACCCTGGTCCCCCCTTCCTGGGATGAGCATGGCCCCTGACGATGTGAAATCCAAACTCAGCGGCGGAGCCAGGTGCCCCGAAAGGTCAGCAGGGGCCCGGGACACCCCGGCTTCCTCCACTCGCCTCCCTGGACTCACAGTATTTTTACCGGCGTCAGGGTTTTTTCTGTTTTGATGGATAAATAAAATGTCACAGCTACCCCACAACATACTTAGCTGGCCTAATTGACTTGAGGGCTATTTTCACATCAGGGAGATGCGTGATCCGTCCTAGGAGTCCGTGCGCCATCGGCGTGAGCAGACCTTGTCTCATGCAACCGCGGAGGTGACGCTGCCGGAACAGCGGAGTCCCCGGGGCCACGGTGCCCAGACCGGGAGGCGGAGCCGCAGCCGAGAAGCCGGGAGAGCCTTCGATCCCAGGAGAACGATGAGCCTCCGAGAGCGACGACCAGCCGCTGTGCACCTTCTCCCGCCCCACGCCGGCGGGTGCGCGGCCACACACGTGCGCCCAGGGCCCGTCAGACGTGCTGCCGGGGGGGGGTGGTGTGCCCGGCACGGACACGCCGTGTTCAGAAACCGGCTGGGACGCTGCCGAGGGCCGGGGGGCTGCAGGGAACAACCCCGCCCCCGAACGGAAGGCCGCACTGGGACACACGCTAAGTAGCTGAGACAAGCAGGGGTTTTGAATGGACAAGTTGTGTCCGCACCATAAACCTTTTCCGAAAAAATTACATTCACACTTTTAAAATGCTTAGGAGGAGGAAAGAGGATGCAAGTTTGGAAGTTAGGTCAAACCTTATGGAGTGGTCTACTGCATATTAAAAAATTTATTGCTCAGCCACGTTTAACTATAGTTTAATATTCGTTACACTGTAAGATAAAGATGTTTATTCTAGATATTTAAAAAAATCTGTTATTAAAAAACAGAGACTGGAAGAAAATGAACCCAATCGATACCGTGACTGTCTCTTAGGGTAGCGTTTCAGGGGATTTTTCCTTATTTATACTCTTAATATTTCGCAAGCCTCCTATGAATTAGCATGCGCCACGCCGGGGCACGACAGCGCTGGCGGTGGCGGCAGGTGTCTGGCGAGGTCCTGAGGAGTTGCCGTGGGAACGTGTGCCCGAGCGCTTCCCGAGCCGCAAGGAGTCGCCGCCTGCAGCAGGTGCGGCGGCTGCCGGGGCCACCCTCTCCCCGTGGCGTCCAGGGACCCGGGGCCGCCCGGGGCCTCCCAGCAAGGAGCCTCTGCTTCCTTCACACCCGCTTCCTTCAGCCCCACAGCCTCGGGATCGCTGGCTGTCCCAGCGCAGACGGGGCCCGGGGGGCCCGGCCGGGGTGGGTGTGCCAAACTCACAGCCAAACCCCAGTTCTCAGCTCCGCTGTGGCCACAGGGTCAGCGAGTCCCCTAGAGGCTGCTCACTGCTGGGACCGGGCCAAGGGCCACCCACACAGAGCCCACGCACCTGCGGCCCCCGAGTCCCCGGAAGAGGAACAAGGGTCCTCAAAAGGCCTTTTGTCCCCCAGGTCCTGGGAAAGCCACATCCTTGGGCTTTGCACAAGGAAGGAGCTCCCCGTAAAGCGCCGTGAACACATTTACCGAAACAGGCAGGACCGATAATCTATTCAATTAAACTGGCCTCTTGACAGACCGATGTTTAAAAGAAAGCTGTATTGTGGTTCGCGTAGTAAAAACAAACGAAACCTTCCGTGGAGCCCTCGCACGCACCACAAAATCACAAAATGGGGGGCCTTCTCTAGCCCGATGCGCTGCCACGCCTCGGGCCACGCCTTTGAAAACGCCTGGAAACCCACAGCCGCTGCCCCGTCCCGGCATCGGTGCACGAAATCCTGAGCAAACGCAGTATGAGATCTTATTCCCCACTCGGTTCATGAAAAAAGTGACCTTTCTGTGCCTCGTTTCTAAGCAGCTAGAAACCGTGCACGCTCACCAGCGCGTCCCTGTGGGCAGCTCACGGAGTTGGCCAGTGGGTTTTATGGACTCAGGGAGTCGGAGCGGCGGCCTTGCTCTGTGCCGCCGGCCGGAAACCCGGGCCAGGCTTCGCTCTCTGTGAGCGGCGTGGGGGCTTCTCCTGAGACCCCCGTGAGGCTTTTGGCCCCACGCCGGCCTCCCTCCCCGCAGAATGTGGCCCACGGTGGGCTTCACGCGCCACGTGTCTGGACGATCCCCCCGGACGAGAATCAAAGGCTGAAAGGCACGGCCCAGCTCAGTGAGGCTCTGAGACCTCATTGGTAAAACCGCTCAAGCCGGGCCAGCGGGGTAAACCACACAGCCCTGTCGGCCGAGCCGCTGCCGCCCGGGACAGAGAGCTGGCCCCCGAGCGGCCCCGGCCGCAGGCAGGCGCTTGGTTAGACCAGTGACCAGGAGAGGAAGCTGGCTCTGGGGACAGCGGCTGGGGTGATCCCGCCTCGGGTTCGCCGCCGCCGGGCCCTCTCAGCCCCCCTGCGCCCCCGGGGCCCACACGGTGCAGCAGCGACGCGGCAGGGCCCGGCACCGACCCCCGCCCCGCCCGGGGCGCCCCCTTGCCTACCGATGGCCCCGCGCCCCGGTCCCCCAGCACCAGCGGGGGCGGGGCGGCTGACGGCGGGGAACGTGCTCCTGGGTCCCCAGGCCGCTGCCGGGGCCCTGCCGCGGCCTCCGCGCTCCGTCTCATTTCGTGAAGAAATCCAACTGGGCTAACCTATCATTTCTGCTCGTTTTATACCCAAAAGCCAAAGCAGGAAATAAAAGTCACTGGAAAGAGATTCAATTACAAAATGTTTTCCCCCCATTAAGTTCCAAATGAGACCTACTGGTGAACGGCAATTAAGGATCTTAGAAACGAAATGCAGCGGACTCGTCCGCGGACGGTGCGACCCTCCCCGAGAGAGGACGCCACGGGGGGTTCCGCAGGGAGGGGCGGCCCCCGAACCCGGCCGGGCGCCCCAGGAACCTCAGCCGGCGGGTGCTCCCTGCCCGCGGCCCCCGCAATGGCCCCTCCTGGGCGGCCGGCCGTCCCCCCCCACCCCTGGCCCTGCCAGGCCCCACCCTCCCAACTCTCCTTTCCCCTCCACAGCAGGGAGCGGGGCTCCTCCTCCCGTCGGTCGGCACCGGGACTCCACGCGGGCCGACCCCGCGGGCTCGCGGGGGACGCAGAGCGGGGCCGCGGGACAGCGCCCGGTCCCCCGCCCCGAGCCCCGCTGGCGCAGGCCCTTACCCCTCTCTCCAGGAGCATGTCTCGGAAGTGGGTCACCCGCTCCTCCAGCGGCGGCAGGACCTGCGGTGGCGGCGTCCGGGGGCCCTTGTCCCTTCTCCCCTCCTCCTCCGGCCCGGGACTCACGTGGCCTTCAGTCCTTTGGGGCACAAGACACGGAGAGTCACACACACCCTGGAGACCCAGTTGCTTTGTGTGGCAGCCTTTTACCCGCTGGGCGGCTCTTACGGAGCCAAGACTCTGTTTCTCTGGAAACCCCTTTTAAATCCCGACACAGTCGGCCCAGCCGAGGGGCGGCCTCTGCTTCCCGCCCACGCTCGGTGGCATTTGGGGCGGGAAGCCGAGGCCAACGCCCTCGGTGAGGGGCCCCAGGCGGCGCGGAGGTGGAGGCCCCCCAGGAAGGAAGCCGAGCGGCCCTGTTTCGGGGCCTTGACACAGCTGTCACTCAAGCTACGGGGCGGGCCTTCCACTAGAACAAATCACCGGGCGCAGGCCGGGCTCCAGTTTTTCAGGGGGCCCCGCGTTTTGTACAGGTGCGTGGGAGGGAGTCCTAGGGAAGCTGTTCTGGCACCGGGCACGCGGCGGAGAGAGCCGTCCCGAGCTCCAACCCCATGCGGAGACGTCAGTGACAACAGGGACACCGGCCCCTCGGGGTCGGACGGCCCAAGTCCCTCGCACCGTCACTCACGCTGGGCTGTCGGACACCCCTCTAGCACTGGGCACCCACTGCGGGGGCGCGGGGGGGCTCGGCTCCTGGGACGTTTGGCAGGGTCGGGAGACATCGGCAATGCTCACAACTGGGGAGGCGCTACCGGCACAGGAGTGAGGCCAGGGACGCCGCTCAGCCCTGCGGTGGACGGGACGGTCCCCGTGCGCTGCCGCTGCGTTCGCGGAGGTGGCGATGGGGCCGTTCAAGGTCCCGGGGGCACTCAGTGGCCAGGACCCGGCGCGTCCCCCCACATGCCCAGGTACGTGGCCTGCCTGTCACCGTCTGTCCAGGGCTTTGTGAAAACCCGTCAGACCAGCCGGGGGACCTGCTGAGACTGTTCCATGTCTAAGAAGAGGCTCTACCACCAGGGCTGTAACGGGTTAATCCAACCGAATGCAAAATGTGCAAATCGAAAACATGATTGCTCAGCATTAGGAAATCTCATTTCTACACCAACGTGTTCAGGGGAACTTACGTTCTTTGCTTCTTCTGTGATTATGTGGAATTTTTAAAAAAGAAAATTACCAGTGGATGTTCTATTGTACATTCCAAGGAGTATAATTAGGGTTCCTTTGTAATAAATTTTCATTAGTTAAAAATAGAAATGTGGAAACAAGACTTGCATTGTCGTAACTTGAAATGAGATTCCTAAGAACCCCGTGCGCTCGCCGACGGCCGCGGGTCAGTGCTTCGTCGACCCAGCGTTTGTGCCGAGGCCTGGGCGCCGTCCAGGCGGCGGGCGGCGCGCGCGGGGCGCAGCAGCCACAAGCCAATGCCAACACCGACTTGCTAAATACACTTTAAATATTCTCATGGCCGGGGGATAACTCTGGTGCCTCCAACTGAGAGTGAATGTGGATACTTCTCCTCCAGCCGGGGCTGCCCGAGGGCGAGGGGCAGCCTCCCCGTGGCGCTGTCTGGCACCCGTCGCCCCGGCCTCGCGTGGTGGAGGGTCCCAGCGCTCGGCAGGGCCCGGGCGGGTTGACGCGCTGCTGTGGGGACACCCCGGCCGCCTGTGTGGGCGGGAAGGGCTTCCTCTGCTCCGGCCCCCCCGCCCCCCGGGGCCCCGCGTCTGGGCCGCAGGCCGGGGCCTCCACTCCGACCGTGGTGCCCACCCTGCCTCTGTCCCCTCCCGTGTGGGGCGGCCGTTCCCAGCCTTTGTCACCTCACGGCACACACACGTTACCAAACGTCTGCAGCACGCCAGAAACACTGGATTTTTAGCGGATCCGACAAAAAAACAGGTGCGGTTTTGATTCACTCACACTGGACAGGTACTGAGTTGGCCGTCGTCATGGCTCCTCTATCTGACCACCGAGGGGGACGGCGGTCGGTGCCCCGACGAAGTGCTCGGGTGCCGCCCGTCGAGTCGGGCGTGCGGCGCAGCGGCGGCCCCGGACGGGCGGGCGGCCCTCAGGGAGGGCGGGGCCTGCGGGCTGCGTGTGCGTGGCTGGCGTTCCGCCCATCACGCCCGCGCTGACCCCGCTGGCTCCCTGACAATGACTCTGCACGAGGCGGCTGGGGAGCCTCCTGGCTGGGGGGCATGTTGGGGTGCCGGGAGGGGGTGCACCCCAACTCCGCGGAGACAGAGGCGCCTGCCGGGGCCCCTCCTGGGCCTCAGCCCCCGCGCCCCGCGCCCTCGCCGTCCCCGAGTGGCCCCCGGGTGACGTTGCTGTGACCGTCGGGGCAGCCCCTCCGAGTTCCGTGAGGCGTCCAGGGAACCATCGAAGCCGAAGGGGGCGTGGGCAGCCCCGGACTTACAGCCACGCTGCGCAGAGGCGTGGGCGGCCTCCGCGGCGGGGAGGCCTTGTGCGGCTGAGCCCTCCACCTCGGGGTGCCCGCTGCCGCCTGCAGGTGGCCAGCGTGAGACCCGAGGGAATCGAGGGCGGCAGAGCCCAGAGCGGCCGCGGGGACCGGGGCGGCCGGGCCGAGCATGGACACGGGTGCCCCGCCCCCCCCGTGGAGCCAAGGCTGGCGCGGCCGGTCAGGCGGCGCCGGAACGTGGGTCCCCTTCCGGTCGTTTTTGTTCCATCCGGCACGGTGCTGGCAATTTCCTCTCTCACTAGTTTTATGTCTAATTCCATTCCGGTTTTTCTACCATGTGACACACTTCTGCTGCCCGTTTAAAATAATTCCGCTACTTGAAGCAAATCCTAAGTTCCTAACACAGCACATTCAAAAAGCAGGTCTGAACTCTAAACGGAACCGCGCATCAGAAATGGCCGCACCTCCGGGCGCCGTACGTCAGCGGGGATGACAGCCCGTGTTCCCGTCCCGGGCACGCGTGTCAGCGCGTCTCGGGGAGGCCCGTTAAACAGCAACTAGCAAGTCATCGGAACGGTGCTCACCACGTAGTTAAAACATTTCAGTCACTGGAGAGCTTGTCACTGTGACGTTTGGGAAAAGTCTCACTTCGACCTGGGCTATTTGCACAACTGACTTCGTTCATCTGCCTGAGAAGGTCCCCGGTGGACGGGAGTTGGCAGGGGACCTGGGGGGTGCAGGGTGGAGGCGGCACCCCACACAGGCCTCGCCGCCTGGGCCCCGTTTCTCAGCCGGCGACACGGCTGCAGTGAGCCACACGTGGCCGGAGGATGTCAAGTGCTTTTCGCTGAGGAAAAATTGTGTTATTTACACCCAAAGCGTCAGTCCTAAGGCGCGGCCGCCGGCAGGCCCTCGGAGGCCCGTCTCCCACCGCCGGGCGGCCCAGCCCGGGGAGTCGGCCGCGGCAGACAGGAGCCCGCGCGGCGCCCGGACTCACGGGCGCAGCCTCGCCACAGACGCAGACGTGCCACGTCCGGCCGGCCGGGGGTCGGCGCCGCGCAAGTGACGTGCAGGCGGGTGCCATGTGGAGGCTCGGGGGCAGCTCCCAGGCGGGAGAGGCGCCCTGCGTGGGGCCTGGCTCATAGAGGACGGCGGAACGTTCCGGGCCCCGTGCAGCCTCCCGACCGCAGCTGAGGCCTTTCCCATCGTCCCTGTGCCTCAGAGAGTTCATCTCAGTTTTAAAATTATTCACGTGTCTCTAAAGACCGAAAAAGCCCGGCTTGGCCGATCTCCCCGGTGAGGATGCAACAGTAAAGGGACACGCGTTACCCCCTCCCCAGAGCCCTCGGTCCCATCGAAGTCGCTCCGTGTCAGGAGTGACTCTAAGGAGGAGACTGGGCGGGGGGCCGGGGGGATGACAACAGGGGCCCCCTCGCTGCCGTGCCACAGGCAGCCCCGCGGCGCCTCGGCCGGGAGAGGAGGCCCCGCCTCCCCGAGACCATGCCCCGTCTCGGAAGGACCGGGCATTGTTTCTGAGAAGTTCTGGGATGCTGGCTTATTTCAATGAAAATGACAACATCCCTGGGCCCTGACAGGCAAACCAGGTTTTCGGGAAGTGCATTGTGGGAAAAGGCCCAGAGGTGTCGGCACTGAAGGACTTCCTGGGCCCGCTCAGGTCTAAATCTACAGGCTTGCGGCTGTGGGGCGTCCATCAAAGGGGCGCCTGTACCCCCCAGCCCTGCTGCAGGGCACCCGCTCGCCTGCGCCTCCCCGGCTCCTGCCCGCGCCCCGTCTTTTGCCGGGAAGCCTCGGGGTGAGAAGTGAAGAGGCGAGAGGGAGCGCAGGTTCAAAGGCAGGATTTCATTTCCCTTCATGACTGCAAACCTTCGTTGTTGCAAAAGTATTGCTTCTTCTAAGGGATGTTTTTTAAAAGAGAAAACGCAAACGGTGCTGACGTTCTTGACGAGAGCACTCAGGTGCCTGTCGCGGGCCTGGGCTGCCCCAGCGAGGGGACACGCAGCCGCCCCGTGCGGGACGGAGGGCGCCCCCGGGCCACGGGCCACCACGCGGGCGCAGGGGGCGGCCTGTGCGTCTGCCCCCCGGGCTGGCTTCCCGATCCCCCACCCTCCTCTGCCGAAGTCGGCGCCCTGCCACCACGCCATGCCTCTGTCTCTCCCCGCCTGGGGAACTTAGACGTAGTCCCCAAATGTCACCCCCTACGTGGAACGCAGTCGGGCAGGCACCACAGACGGGCCTGCCAGGCAGGCTACCGGGGGACGGTGACCCCCAGACTTGGGCGGAAGCGTGGCTTTCCCACCCCCGGCACTGCCCCCACCGCAAACCTAAGGTGCCACCCAACTCCAAGGGCGGGCCTCCACCCCCGAGTGCGACAGGCTGTCACGTGGGGCCACCTCGCCCAGGCGTCGCTCGGGCTGCGGCTGGGAGCTCCTGCCATCTCACAGGGCAGGCGGGAACCCGAGGCCATTTGGCAGGATGACTCCGCCCGGGACCACAGAGCCAGCGAGGCCGAGCCGGAGAGTCCGCCCGGAGCCGCCCAGCCCCAGGCGCGCGCCTCACGCTGCGTGGGGCACCGGAGGCCCCGCCCACTCCCACGGGGCTCCAGGACCCAAGGCCACCGAGCCCCCGCCCACTGAGACTGAGCACCCCGAGTGGCCACAGAGACAAAACCCAAAGCCTCCCGCCAGCGGGTGGCCTCGAATCCCGCTTCGCTCAGCCAATAGCCGCCCGAGGATCCTTTCCGTCCTTCACCGCCTACCGGCCCACCAGGGAGGAACAGAACGGGAAGGACGCAGGCACCTACCGGTTCCTCTTGGTTTTCACGGCCGGGTCTTCGCTGCCGTCCTCGGAGCTCGATCCGTCGCCGGGGTCAGCTGAAAGACAGGCGGGTTAGCGCGGCGGGGCGTGGGCTCTCGGCCCTGAGGCCAAGCACCGGAACGTTCCCGCAGGCTCCTTGGGAAGCTAAGAAAGCAGGTTCCCCTTAAACACCGATCTCAAGCTGCCACTAGCTTCCTCTTGGAACGCTTCCTTCAACTTCAGCCAAGAGAAATCTGGTTTTCTCTGGGGCATGGAGGCCTTCCCCAGCCGCTGTCCACTGAGAGGCAGCTGGGCCTTCTGCGGGGCCAGAGGACAGAGGGCTGAAGGCCGGCGCCCACCCGCCTTGCACCCCGGGACGTGGGCCCTGGCTGCGCCCTTCTATCCCACGCCTGCCGGGTGCCCCTGTGAGTGGCCCCCCCGACCCGGGCCCCCCTCTGTCCTCCGGGCTGAATAATCCGCTGTCCCCTGGGGGCTGCGCACCCTCCACTCCTGACTCTGTGTCTGATTCAAAAAGCCAAACCGGTTTAGAAGGCGGCTCCCCTCCCTCCGTCCCGGAGAGGCCGGCTCTGTCCGTGGCTGGGGGCTTCGGGTGGAAAAAGGAAAAAGGTGCTCGGGGGTCTCACAGGGGTCTCCAGAGGGGCGGGGGAATGTGCATGGCGGCCTGGGCCCGGACCGGCGGGGCGGCTTCCCGGCGCGTCCGGCGCCCCAGCTGCCTCTCGCCCTGTTTCTCCTTCTCTGTGGTCCCCCAGGATTGTGTCCCCGAGTGGGTGCAGGTGCGGGGGACTCGGCACCCGCCGCCCGGCTGCCCCAGCGCACGCACTTCTTCCTGAGGAGGCCGCACACCGAGAACGTAGCTCGTGACAAACGTGGAGCCCCTGGAAACAGCACCAAGCCCCGCCTTTGCCCTCTATCAACCCTGCCGACGCGCTGCCCGGAGTCCTGCACCGCGGCTCCAGGCCCGCCTCCTCCCAGCTTCTCCGCCCGCCCACGTGCAGAGGGCGCGGCTGGACGGAGGAGGCGGGGCTCCGGAAGCCCCGGCACACCCTTGCCCCCGCCCCCGCCCGTCTTGGTTCTAGGGGCCTCCTCCCCCTGCCGGCCAGGCCGGCCGCGTCCCACACGGCGCACGGCTCCACCCTGGCGCCTGCAGAGCCACCAGCTGCCAGGCGTCCTCCTGCGGGACCCGCGGTCCCGCCCCCACCGCACACGCTGCGAGGAGGCCCTGCCGGGGAACGGGGGATGGACAGGGGCCCCTGCAGGGCGGTGCTGGGGCGGGGAGGGCGCTCTGGGCCTCAGCCCCTGGGGGCGGTGGTGGCATCCGGCCTGGTGTCTGCAGGGCTCTCCAGCTGCAGCCCCCGGCCTTGCAGCAGGGGCACCGGGGCGGGAGGGGGTGCCGTGCCCGTGGGGCGTCGGCAGCATCCCCGGCCTCCGTCTGCCTGAGGCCGGCGGCACTGCCCTCCCAGCCGGGGCCACCACGGGCGTCCCCAGAAGTTGCCAAGCATCCCCTCAGTTGAGAACAGAGGTGCAGAGAGAGCAGCGTGATGACTGAACTGCCGCGGGGGAAGGGGAGGGGGTGCTGGGGGGGCGGAGGAGGGCCGTCCCTCCTCCGCCCTCCCTCCTTCGCCCCCACGCTCTCCTCCCACGCGTGCCCATCATGGCGCCAACAGTCGCTCTCCCTGCGCTGCGGACACGAAGCCTCGCTGGTCTCCCCTGCTCCTGCCCGGCTCTCCACCTCCCGGCCCCTCTGCCCAGCGTCCCGTGGGGACCCCAGCTCAGCACGTCCAAACCCTGCAACCTGACATCCCACGGGAGTTCTGGGGGCGGCCGCCCACCTCTGGCGGAAAAGACCGGCGACAGGTAAAGTAGCTTTTATACTCGACAGGGTGCTCGCGTCACCGGCAGAGCAAGACCTCGGGGTCCTCGGAAGCTCCGTCCGCCCGGGCGCTGCGGGCCCCTCCGCGGAGAGCCAGCCAGTGTGGGCGCCCAAACGGAGCTAAGGATGCAGGTCACACGGTTCCCTCGCTGGGCAAAGCGGAGGCTAAGGGCGGGCCACTGGGCACGGTCGGAGGTGGGGGACGGTCCACGGGGAGGTCGGGGCTCCTGCCATGGGGCCAGGCGGGGTGGGGAGGGGTCTGCGTGGGGGGAGCCTCCCTCCACCCCCGTCCTCTCGGGTGAGCCACTCTGGAGAATGCCCAGCACGTCCGGCCTCCGTGGCCTCGGATCTTGCTGAGCGTGGCCCCGTGGCCCCACCTCACGCGGGGACCTGTGTACGCCGTCCCCGGGCAGACGCGGCCTGGAAAAGCCACCCCCTCACAGCCACAGCTGCGGGGCCCCCGGGGCCCCCGTGTGTCCTGTTGGGGAAAGGCGTGTCACCGTCAACGTACGTTTGTCTTGGACGCCAGAGGCTAAAACGTTTCCGGAGCAGTGAGGCCAGCGGGGTCCGTGCCACCTCCGATGCGGGTTAGGGACAAATCAGTGTGAGAGGACGAGGCTGCCGCCCCGGTTCCCAGGTGCTTTCCAGAAGCCTGTTTGCCTCACACGCTCCAGGCGCGGGGCCGGGCTGCCCCCCTTGAACGTGGAGTCGGACCCGCCGAGGTGCCGTCCTGCCCCCCGTGTGACAGCAGAGCGACCGTGGCCAAGCCAGCGCGCGTCCTCTCTTTCATCCCCTCTGTCACCTGCGGGCGGCAGGACAACGGCCCTCCCAGACATGCGGGCCCTGGTCCTGGAGTCCAAGGGCGCCTCTGGCTCCGTGGCCGAGGTTGCCGGACAGCGGATCCAGGCGGGAGGCGACTCCGTGTCTCCCCGGAGGGCCCAGGGCCCTCATGAGGACCCTGCATGCGGGGGTGGCCTCCGAGGCGTCGGCGGGGAGGGCGGGGAGGGCGGAACTGGCTGCTCTGAAGGTGGAGGACATGCCTTCCGCCTCGGGGCTGGGAGAGGCCGGGGCTCAAGTCCCCAGGGAGAGCGGAGAGCGCTGCTCCACGGCCGCCAAGGAGGCGCGCGCTGCTGGCCTCTGACCTCCGGACCCGTCAGGGAACACACCTGTGTCGTCCTCCGCCGCCGGGTCTGTGACTTTGCTCCAGCAGCCGCAGGAGGCTCACACAGAGGCCCCCCGCACCCTGAGTTCCCCCAGCTCTGCTGGCCTCGTGTCCTCCCCAGCCACGGGGCGGCCCCGGCGGGACAGGAAGGCAGAGGAGAGTCGGAGGGTTCACCGCCCGTCTCTCCCTGCCCCGCCTCCTGCCCACCCCGAGGACGGCCCGCCGGCACTGTCCTCGCACCCAGCGCGCGCCCCGGGCTGCCCCAAACCCTCCCGGGGGAAGGGACAGGATCCCCACAGGAAGGCAGGCAGAGCGGCCACGGCCGGGAGGCGCAGGCGTGTGCCCGACCCGCGGGGGGCGGACCGTGGTGCTGCAGGCAAAGGCGGCGGCGGCGGCACAGGGACTCCGACCGACCGGTGTGAGGGAAGCGGGTGCTGGCGGAAACGGGAGTGCGTACGGGCGGCCGCCTCACGCTCACAGTAGTTTCCCTCAGGACGGGTTTGTGGGGATGTAACCCGTCCCAGGCCGGGGAGCCTCTGCACCCCCTACACGGAGGGCCCCAGCGGCGCGAACAGCGCGGGGCGGCGGCTGCGGGCGGCGGCGGGGCTCTCCGTTCCTCCCTGGGGGCGGACATTCATCCGGCACCAACCGCGGCGGCCGGAGCCATAAAGAATCTGGATGCTCCGCCAGGTAATTAGAAAATAACTCAGGCCCGGGTCTTAATCTCTCAGCAATGCTAACGGGGTGACAAAGGGACTTTTCCTTTATCTGTGGGATGATGGGTGGCTCCGGCGCTGCCAGCCGCTCTGTCCGTCTGCGGCCCCGGGGCTGCCACGCGCCAGCCCCCACGCCAGTGCCTGCTGCTCCTGGTGAACATGCAGGCACATGCATGCAGGCACGTGCACGCACACACATGCCTGGGCACACACAGGCACACATATGCAGACACACACGCACACAACTGCTAAACCCAACAGCAGCTTCATGTGGCAGCTGTTGTTTAGAATTAATTTATTGTGCTTCCTTTGAAAAATGCTGGGTGTCAACTGGAATGCTCGCTTGTTCCGCCTCAGTCTAGAAGCAGGTGATGCTACATTCAAATCTACCAGTTAACAAAGTGCTGGAATCTCCACCAATCCCAATCCCGCCCAGAGCTGGCTCTTACAATAATTAGGGCCAAATCATTTCATGAGTCCTGGTGGATGCCCAGCCAGGACAAAACGCCACCGGCTGGCAGCTGAAGGTCATCTGCTCGGCCCAGTGGCCGCTCATTATCCTCCGGGAGCAACCCCCGTCCTAGCTGGGCTGCTGCAGGAAACACGCTGAGTGGACCTTAGGAAATCAGAAGTTGCACATTTGAATTGCAACTCTACCCTGCCACAGGAAGTTGAGAATCGAGGCCATTAGCATACGTTTAAGATTCAGGTTTTTTAAATGATTGGTTTAAGAAAACCTCTTTAAAAAGAGGAAGCTAGGATAAAAACGTTGGTAAGTGCATGTGCTTTTATCACCACACATCTCTCCAGGTGGAGCGTGGGGCCCCCGGAATAAGTGGATGGAAGGCAGACGCGCCGTAATGCGGCGAATCTACACGCACTGGCTATTATTTCTGGCTGCGCTGTCAGGTGTAAGCCTCCATTCTCCCCGTTTTTTAGTATAAAATGAGATTGGTGGTTGCAGAGTGAAACGGAGCCCGCTAACTCGGGTCCCTGTCACTAAATCAGTTAAACGAGGAGGCCATTCGACGGAGGAGGCTCGGCGCGGGGCCCTGGCAGAACCCACCAGAGGCCCCAGCCAGCAACTGCCCCGGGTTAAGCCGTCTATCAAAATACCGAGGGCAGCCAATCACAAGCGGCCAGGGGCTTCCACTGCAGCCAATCAACAGCTTCCTTTCTTCGCTCCGCACCTGCGAGTCTTGTCCGGTGGGCGGGGCACCCCAGGCATTTCGAGTTTGGTGGTCAGGGTTAGAATGCTTTCTGCTCAAATAACCTCTTGAAATCTGTGATGGGCCTCAGTTTACCTGTTACCGCGCCCCCCGCAGGGTCCTCCGAGCCGCGAACTGGCCGGCGACCCGGTGGGCCGTTTGCGGGCGTGGCTCTGCTACACTCGGATCGGTGGGTCGAGTGGAACGCAAGGAACAGGAGTGCGCGTGCGCACGCGGGCCGCGTGGAGCTCAGGTCCTTCGACAGCGACCCGCTCCGGAGAGAGAAACAAACAAACGGGACCAGCGCCCAGCCACCTGCGAGTGCGGCCGGGCATGGCGCCAGGGCCTGCCCGCAGTGCCCGGCTTCCGCCGCAGCACCACCGTCGCTGCTGCGAGGCCCTGGCGTTCCTCGGGGGCTGTGGGGTCCCCCGTCTCCCTCCTGCCCGCGCCGTGCGGGTCCTCTGTCCCCGAGGGCAGACCCCAGGAGGCGGGTTTCTATCAGGGCCCCTGGCTCAAGCCCTAGTCCAGCAAACAAATACCGCCCTTAAAAATGGAGGCCAGACGCTAGTGTGGCTCAGTGGACTGAGCGCTGGCCTGCCAACCAAGGGGTCACGGGGTTGATCCCCGGTCGGAGCTCGTGCCTGGGTGGGGGCCAGGCCCCCAGTAGGGGGCGCGCAGGAGGCAAACACATGGATGTTTCCCTCTTTCTCCCTACTCCTCTGTCTAAAAATAAATAGAATCTTGATTTGAAAAACCGGTGCCAGTCAATCAAAAGAGGAAACAATCCCAACTTCCCAACTTCTATTGCCCCTGAACTCAGCTGAGGGGGAGCAGAGTCTGTCACCCCAAAATGTGCCTGTTTCGGGTCTGGAGTACTTGGATCTGGCTGTTTTAAACAAATGACTCAGAAACAACCTTTGGCCCTTAGTTGCCAAAAAAACTCATAAGCTGGAGGACCTGCTCTGGAAGGCAGCTTCATCGGGTTAACGCCAGTTAACATGAGCTCGGGGTCTTGGGCAGAGAGGCGCCCACGAGGCCCCGTTGCTACTGAGGGGCCCAAATGGGCTTGGGCACCAAATACCGGCTTTTCCCTCCCCCGGTGAGCTGCCCTCCTGCCCTCGGAGGCCCCAGACCGCAGCCCCCTCCCTCCTTAGCTCCGAATGGCATGCGCACCCCACGCCGGACAGGCCTTGGGCCCATATTCTCACGGAACCGGGCTCGCAGAGCCTGTTACTCAGTCTCATGCTGATTTGGTGATTAGCCCACCAGAACTCAGAGAGGTAGGAAGAAAATGATATTCCTCTCCCCGCAGAGCTAAGTTTTTACAGATTCAGTGAAATAAGCACCCAGAACACTTTTCTTTCCCCAGCAGCGGCGGACGGCAGCTCTCTGGAGGACACTCTTATTATCTTACGTGAAATAAACACATTAAACCTGTCATCTTTCCACAACAACAGACAACCACTGGCTTCAAAAGAGCCGCCGTTTCTCCGTCCCTCGGCGCTGCGAACGTGTCGGGAAAGCGTGCGGAACACCCCCCCACAGCCGCGGTCGGACGCCGCCGCACCTGCCGAAGCTGCGGACCCTGGCATTGGTGCGCGCCCGCAAGGAGGCGGAATCGAAGCATCACTGCAAACCCGAGAGAACAGCCCACAAAATAAAGGATGACCCGCCCTTCCGGGGGTCCAGCACCTGCCTTTCAGGCCAGAACCAAGCTGACCTCTAGTCCCCCGGGGGCCCGCGGGCTCCGCAAGGGGCTCTCCCAACACCGCAGCCGATCAAAACGGTAGCAGGGCTCACCGGAAAGGGCCCGTCCCAGAGACGCTCGGTGTTCGTGTTCTCTGGGAACGTGATTCTCCAGGGCCTATGGGAGACGGCTGCCCTCCGCCCCGCGCCCGTGCCTCCCCCGGCACGCGGTTCCACGGAATTCCAGGGTCCCGTCAGATACACGAGGGACGGCCCCGTGCACGGGTGGGAGGAAATGGGCTGTTTGTGCACGTCTGGTCTCTCAAGTGGGCTTCATACGACATTCGGAAAAAATGAACTGCCGGCCGAGGAGGATGCCGGGAGAACTGGCGTGGCTGCCGACATGAAAGGCTTTCTCTGAGTTAGAAACCTAACTGGGAAAGACAGCCAGAGCCGGCCCCTGGGGAGGACGGCTCTTTCTGCAGAAAGCGCCATAAAAATTTAATTACTACATTCTAAAATAGTGAACACGATTCCTTAACAGCCAGCCGCCTCCGGAACCCGCTCCTCGGAGCGCGCCGCCGGACGCGGACCCAGGGCCCGCGAGCACCCGCCATCGGCTACCTGCGGAGGCCTCCAGCTTGCGCTTGTGGGGCGGGTCTTTGATGATCCTGTTGAGGTCCCCGCGGTGTCTCAGGTCCCGGGGCTTCTCCCACACGGACAGCTGCATTGTCGGGTTGAAGAAGAAAACCCGGTCGTCGCCTGTCCAGACCACGCACCTGTGCCGATCGAAACACTCGCCTCAGTTACACCCGGACCCGCAGTTCGGGCTCCGCTGGCCCGTAGGACCCTCCTGGGGTCCACCCGGTGACCTGGTTTCCAAAGCAAAGGGACCACTTCGCTGCCGGCCGACAGGCCAACGGGACGCGCTGGCCGAGCCTCCGCTGAGGCCGCTGACCTGGCGTCCAGAGGCCCCCCCCCGCCTGCCCATTCCCCGAAGGCCTGGAGAGGCTGAGACACGCGTGCCAAAAAGCCCCGGCACCGCGGGGGGACCTCTGGAACGTCCTTTACCAGGTGGACACGCTCATTTCCTCACTGCCTTCGCGGGGCATCTCCGCCGCTGGTTCGCGTTAACGTAGAGGAAGTTCATCTAACTTAGGAAAGGGGACTCTACGTTTGGAGGTTTATGGGGCCCCGTGCTCTCCCGATCCCGGGTCGTCTGTTGCTTGTCTGCCACGTTGGGGGTGCACCGCTCCTGAGGCCGGGGTGCCCCGTCCAGAGACTCCCCCACGCCACCCGGGCACAGGGCAGGGCCAGCGCCCTGGAGCCCCAGAGGGTGGGCAACAGTCGCAGCTTCCACACCACTGAGCTTCTACAGTGAGCGGAGGGCGCAGCGCGGCAGGGGCTTCGCAGGGCCGTTCCCCGGAGGGTGCAGAGCAGCATCGGCCAGCGCAGTGCCCTTCCCTCCGGGCACAGGGCCGCACCTCGGGCCGGGGCCGGGCCGGGCCCTGAAATGCAGGCCTACGCGGCAGCCTCGTCACACAGCACCGCCGTCTGCCTTCGTGACCCTCTGTGACACTTGTTCCCATTAGTGTCCCCTCCTCAGCACAGAAGTCCTCGCCTGCCCCTTCCCTGACATAATAGAGGCTCCGTGGTGCGGAGGGGCCAGGCCCGTGGCCCCCGGCAGCCTGTGCGCTCAGGGAAGCGCGCCGTCGCGTGGCCTCCAAACCCCGCCGGCACAGCTGCCATCGGGGGGCCGCAGGCGGAGCCCCACGTCCCCTGTGTGCCTGGCCCGGCCTCTCACTGCCCACAATTCCGACTGCCGTGCTGCTGTTGAATGTCACCCGGTCGTGTTATGTTTAGGGACATTTTCCTTTCTTCCTGGACAAGTTTTACCACTTTCCTCCAAGGCCTTATTTTTGATACTCATTCTTTTATACCCACGTTCAGAAAAATATGGAGACGCTCCTTTGAAAATATCACAGTCCATAAACAGTTATGAATTAATAAAAAGCAATCCACAGGCGCTAAAACACCAGGCGGAGTCCGGGTGAAGAGCCGGCTGGTAACCCACGCTCCGGAGGCCGGGAGCAGGCCCGAGCTTCCCACACGTGTCGCCGGTCAAAGGCTGGCCGCCCGCGGCCCTCACCTCCAGGGCCGAGCCACCGCCAGCCACCGGCCCCTCAGTGACAGCAGGCGCTGGCACCTGCAGTGCCCCACGGCCGTGTGAAAACAGCCCCCGCCCCTCCTCCCCGCGTACCGTGAGATCGCCCGCGGCTCCGCCCTCGGAAGGGGTCAGCTTTCTGACCGATGGACACAGGAGACCCTGGTCCCCGGGGGAGCCGGGGCCGGCAGGGCCCCTCCCCTCTGCCCAGAGCGGTCCTGCAGCGGAACTGAGTCTCAGAGAGGCAGGCGGCGAGGCCTCTCCGGCCACTCCGGGAACGGCGTGCAGCTCCGGCAGCGGCCCGGCTCTGAGGCTCGGGGTGCGCCTGCAGGCGGCAGCGGCTCCGGCGCCCGGGGCTGGCGGCTGTCCCACCGCGGGCTGTCCTGAAGGCCCTCCTATCCCCTTCCTGCTGGTGGCGGAGCAGAGAGACGGCTGGAGAGCAGGCCCCTCACGGCCGCCCGCGGCTGGGAGGTCAGGAAGGGCGCGCGGTGCCAGTGTACCGTCAGGGGGCGCACATGGCGGGGGGCGCGGGGCGGGGGGCGCGGGGCGGGGGCCGCTAGTGAGGACAGTGCGACCTCCAGGGTCCCGCTCGGCACTTTGCACCGGAACCGGGTTCCGTCCAGGAAGGACGCCTGCAGCTTCCACGGTCAGAAGGTTCTGGAGCCCAAGGCCACGCCTCCTACCACGTGACCGCCCCAGGCAGCACCCTGGAGCCGCAGGCAGGGCCACCGCCGGCACCGCGCGCCTCCAGCCCCCCGCACGGTTCGCTGGAAAGTGGGCCTGCCTCAGCGGCACAGCGCAGAGGGCTCGTCACAGGGACCCCAAACGGGGCTCGTGCACAAAGACGCAAGTACGTGGTCTTTGTCCCCAGCTCCTGGCCTCCGATTCCAAACAACCTTGGAGTTGGCCGAGCGGCTGCAGAGTCTGCTAAGCAGCAAGCCCCCGGGACCACGCGGGCGAGGAGGCGAGTCGGGGTGGGGCTGGTCACCGGAAAGACGGGCCACTGGGCTGGAGGCTCGGACCCTTCAGCCCCGCCTCCTGGGAGGGGCTGGAGACTGAGGTCTGTCCCTTGGCCAGCGATGTGACCCCTTGGGCCTGAGGAATGACACCCCCATTTCAACCCCGCACAGCAGGGTGCAGGGGGCTTCTAGGCGGGTGCACGTGTCACTGTCCTGGGCGGGGGTGGCCCAGGAGAGGGCAGGGAGGCTCCGCCCCTCCCCAAACCCTGCCTGGGTCCCTCCTCCAGCCTCTCCCGGGCTGTGTCTTTCCAGCGAAGCTGTGATCGTACGGGAAGCACTTTCCCGGTTCTGGGGGTCACTCAGCGCGTTATGGAGCCTGAAGGGAGGTGGCGGGAGCCCCAACCCTGCAGGCCTCTGGGGGACGGGCCCCGGAGCCTGCGGGGTCACCCGGGAGCCGTGTCGGAACCGAATGGGCCGAGGGCACTCGTCAGCGTTGTCACAGCGTCAGTGCAAGGAGGCGCTTCCGCTGGAGACGGTCCCGGGGCGCAGAGCGGGCTCTGGGGTAGACGGGGCGCGGGAGGCCGCGGGGGCTCCGGGCACTGACCACGGACCGGGCGGGCGGGGCGGCGCCCGCTGCTCCGGACAACGAACAGGTCCTCGGGCCGGGCCGGGGGAAGGAAGGACGCCCTGCCTGCCCCTTCGGGGGCGCGGTTCCCCGGTGACTCGCCTGGCCCAGCCCCCCCCCAGCCCCCTCCTCCCTCTGAGTGTCAAGCCCTAAGCCTGACTTTTCCTGAGATAACCTTTTCATTCTGCTTCCAAATCACCCTGGGATAAAAGGACATTTTAAGAAACCGAAGACGGGACTCCTGCACCAAGGGAGCTTGGCGTGTGGCGCCCTCCGAAGACGGCGGCCGGCGAGAGCCGGCCTGTGGCCGGGCACAGCCGCCCGCCACTCTCCCCGCGGCGGGCGGCGGGGGCGCTGAAGCTCGGCGCGCGCCGTGCTCTCTGCAGACCCTGGGTCTGACGTGTACGCACCCGCATTATTATTTTAATAAATATTCGCAAATGCACTGCAGCAGAATCTCATCACTTAAACACTGTTTTCCTTCCTGCAGGACGTGACAAGGTACAGAACTCTACCTGCCGTGAGTCGCAAATTAATTTTTAAGCCACAGTCTTACCTAAGGAGCGTGCATTTCTCTTTGGTGGCAAGACAAGGCTATTTCTCATGGCTCCCGGGGTTCAGGGCCTCTTACCAGGGGGAGCCGGGCACCGGGGCGGAGGCCACCGGCCTGCTGCCTTCGGCCGCTCCGTCCTCTCCTGTCACTGGGACCGACGGGGGCTCCTTTCAACAGAAAGAGAAGGAGGGCGCCTTTTACACGGTGTTTAAACACTCGTCTTCATTACCAGCAGCCAAGTAAGAAGGAACAGCCTCCTGCCGGCAGAGCTGCCTGCGGTGGCCGTGAGACCTTGACCTGCTCAGGGGAGCGGCCAGTCGTGCCGGGAAGGCGGAACCGGCCGCGCGCCAGGCCGCGGGGAGGGACCCCGACAAAGGCGCCCCCGGTTGCCCCGGACGAGCTACGCTGGCCGCTGCCCCAGACGCGAGACGGAGACACAGCCCGGGGCTGCTCCCGCTGCCCTGGTGCCCGGGGCCCAGGCGAGACCACCGGGTCCCTCTCTGGAAACAGGCCGACCCCGCGGCTGGGGTCACCGTGCCCCCGAGACACCGCGTTCAGTGGCAGGGAAGCCCGAAGCCGCGAGGGGCCCGGGGTGCAGCTGCGGCTCGCCCACCCGGTCCCTTGATGGCAGGGGGAAGTGACGAGCCCACGTCCCCGCGGAGTCTGGGGGCACCAGCGGCCGCCCCTTCCTAGAGTGCCCCGCGGGGCGGAGCTCACGGGGCGGGACGAGGGGCAGGCGGTTCCGTGCGCAGTGGGCTGTGATGGGAGAAGGGACGGGCCCTACACCCGGCGGCGCCGGGCCTCTGGGCCGCTCTCTGCGGAGGCCCCTCCGCCAGGCCACGCAGGTGGGCGACCACCTTCTGTCGGGGATAAAAACGGCCCGTCAGGGCGCGGAGCTCCGCTTGCGTGCTGGGGAGTCAGGCACGCAGAGCAAGCGGCGGGGCAGCGGCCGAGGCCCACGGAGCCTGTCGGGCGATGGACCCGCCGGCCTGGCCGCTCCTGGGCAGGCCCTCCGTCCGGAGACCGCGCGATGTGCACGGACATTCGTGGCCAGCCTGCGCCGCGTCTGGACACCGGGACGGAGGAGAAGCCGTGGCTGCCAGCAGCGCGGCCGGGGACGTCACGGTTGGGGAACTGGCCCGGAACCCGTGCCAACGGGGACGTCACAGCGCGGAGGCACAACTGACAGCAGTGAGGGGAGAGGGGAGGGTCAGGGACTCCGCGGGGACCAGAGCCTCCGGCCTGTCCGACAGGCCGGGGGCCCCACGCGCCGCCTGCGACTGTCCAGGTGGCCACGAGGGCCGCCCAGCAGGGCCGCCCAGCGAGCTCGGGGCCCCGGGTCCCGGCGGGAAGGCTGGCGCCCTGCCTAACCTCCGTGACGCCTCCTCCCTGCCCAGGCGTCCCCTGCGACTGCTGGGCTTGACCGTCTCGCGTGGGACTGGCCAAGTGGCCCTGCCCGAGGGCCTCGTGGGGAAGCCGGCGGGAAGGGGGTGCAGCCCAGGCCTCCCCCCAGGGGGCCGCGTCCCGAGACCGACCTTGTCTCCTCCGTCCCCGGCCGGGCTCTTCCTCTCCGCGTGCAGCACCAGGGCGGGAGGGCGAGGCGTGCAGGCCGGGTCCCGGCCTCTATCTGCTGGGCCAAAACAAAGGTCGTTAGCCTTGCACCTGCCACGTCACTTCGGAAAAACCAAACAAGGGTGAGACGTGGCTTTGGACATTCAGCTGGTGCGCAAACACCCTGTGCACCGCAGGACGGCGCAGTCGCATGGCCCGGACGGTGGTCTCGCAACAAGTCCCTCCACGGCCCCTTCCTGCCTGCTCGGTCCCGCCCACAGCCCGCCAGCCCCAGCGCCTGGACCAGGCCACGCGAGGTACGGCTCGAAGGGACACACAGGCTCCCTGAGAAGACAAGGGGCCCACGTGGGGCCAGGTTTTCTCAGGCTTCCGCGCCGAGTGGCCACAACAGGCCACCTCAGCCCACCCCACCCCCACCCTTTTAGCTCATCGCTGACACGGTGCCAACTTTGCCAGGGACCAGCCACGCCAGCTCTTTGAAAAGCAGTTGTTTGGGAAGAGGGAGGGGGGATGTCAAAGGTGTGGACTCTGCATATAAAACGCAGTTGAGGTCTCATCCTCCTTAAATGTTGGCGAGCGGTAAACTCATGTCAGGAGAGGCCCCAGGACAAACCACCGTTACCGCTGAGCGTTGGAAGGAAAACCCAAACCATTCACCCGCCCCCCCCCCCCGCCCCCAGCTCACGGGCGTACTCCTAGCTCAGAGATGGGGACTAGCCCCAAGGGACAGGGCAGAGGAGGGCCTGAGCCTGTTCTGTCCTGAATGGCCAGCCAGTCGCGACTCTGACAGATGGTTCCTGCGCAACCAACCTCCTCTGAAGAACGTGTAACTAGGGGGGACACCTTCTCTTAGACTACGAGGACCCCTTACCCCCAGTCTGTACCTCACGACCCTGCAGATGCTGGGAGGTTGGAGGGGACAGGGGTGACGAGTTCCTGGTGGTTGCAGCCCACCGGCCGCTGTGGGAAGGGTTTGCAGAGAAAACCCTCCCAGCCACCCAGGCTGAGCCGACGGGAGGGACCGCGGAAACAAGCTCAGCAGACCGGCCGTTACCGGAGAGCCGTGGTCGGGAACAGATGGCTCTCCCCGGCGACCTCCGTCCTTGGGGAGGCCTGCGTAGGACGTGGGGCGGCAACAGACGGTGCGGACTCTCCGGAGCTCCGGCCTCTGCTGGCTACCATCCAGCAACCGCTTTTCTGCACAGGAATGTTCTCACCGCCAGGAGCAGATCACGGACCAGCCACTTGCAGAAATGTCTCAAGGAGAGTAACAGGGGGCATTTGAGCCCGACAGGCTCACCGTAAGCACCGCCTTAAAGTGGGTTCGGCGATACCCCAGCACGGCAGGAGCCACCATCTTATTGTACACAGAAGAAAAATAGAGTCGTTGAGTTGTTTTCCAGGTTACAAAGCAAGCCACTAGGGAGGGCTCAAATTACTTGTCAATTTAAGCAGCGCTGGGCTCCTTTGAAAAATTCGATAATAAGGGAAAAATGCAATTTATGTTTAAGATAATAAAAATGACACACTCAGGTCCACTGAATACGGCTCTCAATGAGGCCTGAAGAACACATCGATCTCCGGAGGCCACTCCGCCGTGAGGGCGGAGGCACCGGGAGAGGGGCCCCGGGGACGGTGGCCGGAGCCCGGCTGCAGCGCGGCCCGGGCGGCGCCTCAGCACCAGCCGCGGCCCGCGGGCGCCCACGAGGAGAGGGAGACACGCAACCCCAAGGGGAGCCCGGGGGCCGGGGTGCGAGGGAGGCCCGGCTGCTGCCGAGAACGGGGAGCCCAGAGCAGAGAGGGCGCCCCTTAAGCCCCCCTTCGCCTCAAGCCCACCCACCAGGGCTGCGGCAGCCCAGGGCGCGGCGGCGCCACTGTCCCGGCACGCGGAGCAGCCCGGGGCCCCGGCCCGGGCTCCAGGGCAGGCAGCGGACTTCGGTCCCCACGAGAAGGCCCCTCCTCCGTCGCCGGCCCGGGGCCTGCTGTGCGCTCTGCGGGCTTGTCGGCCTGCAGCTGGTGAGAAAGCGCCCCCGGGCCTCCGGAGGCCGCCCCCATGGGAGGCCGTTGGGGACGGCCTTCTCCCTGGGTCCCGGTGTGAGGCTCAGAGGGCGGGCTGGCCTGGGTTCCAAATGCAAGACACCAAATTTTGTATCATTTAACTTGGTTTTCAAACTCTCTTTCCCATCGGAGACTGCTGAACAGAGGTCCGAAGAAGCCGCCCCCCAGAGCCGCCGCCCTTGGGGTCCACTGCGGTCACGCTGGGTCCTCAGCCTCCACGGCCACCGGTGTAGGCCCCCGGCCCAGCCTCACGACCCTGGAGCGTTCGGGCAGAGTCCCGCCCACCAACACGACCGCCTTCGCACTCGAGTCCCCAGCAAGGGTCTCAGGCTTTCCTCTGGATCTTGAGGTCAGCGAGGACCGGGCTGACCTACGGTCTGCAGCCGGCACGCATGAGCCCAAACGACCACCGCTACAGCGGAGGCGGCGGCGGGTGCAGCTCTGCCACCGCGCCGCTCACGGGGGACCCGGGGCTCCCGGCAGCCGCGTCTGGTCCCACTGCAGGAGGCGACCGCCGGCGGGTTTGGAAGCCCCGACCTCGTCTCTGTGCCTGGCGACCTCAGTCCTTCCCAAAGACAGAGAGTGGCCGCTTCACCTTTTGGTCAAAGTGTGTGCTGAGCGTGGCCCGCCCGGCACACGGGTGTCTCAGGCCTGGGGCTGCAGTGTGGCCAGCAGTGCGTGACCGGCCAACAGTGTGGCCAGGCGAGGGCCCTCTGGAGCTGAGCAGGTGACTTGTGCCTATGACGGTGTGGACAGAGGCTCAGGGACAGTCATCTGAAGCCAAGACCCCCCAGGTGGGAAGTGACTGGGACCAAGGGCAGGGGCGTCACGGGGGCAAGGAATAGCAAGTGCGAAGTCATCGAGGTGTCAGGGACTCAACTCCCACCCCGGGTGCCGGGGCCAGTGAGGGGAGATGGGACCAGAGCCGGGTGACACCCGCCACCCTCTCTGTCCCCCGTTTGCACAATACGGAGAGAGCGCGAGGACACACATGAAATTCTCACGATAAATAACGGTCTATCGATACAGGACGTGCACAGTGTGCCATGTAGAGTTTTTGCATGTAGTACACAGGATCAAGTTTTACGGCACACGGGAGCCTGTTTTCAAGGCCGCCTGCTGCCACTGGTGTCATTTCACGGGAGGAGAAGCCTGTGCGCGGCCGGGGACACTCCACTCGGACAACGCGAGCACCGTCACAGCCTCAGGCGGCGCGGCCCCGCCCCCCGCGGCGGCGCCCGCAGCTGCGGGGAGTAGAGCTTCCCAGAGGCCTGTTCGCGTGGCCCGCAGGTACACGTGGAAGAGGAACGCACGATTAAACGTGCTCTGTTCGAAATGACATTGTTAACTTGTATCAAAGAGAAACACTTCCGCTGAGAAACGGGGTTCCGTATGAAAGCAACTGTCACATAAAAGGGAGGTTTGCGAGGCCCGAGCCCTTGGGACAGGAGTTACCGTCCCCAACTGTGTCCCAGGGGAGCGACAGTGATGTCTGTTGCCTGGAAGGGGAGCGGCGTCGCCAGGCCTCTGGGTTCGACGCCGCCTCAGGGCAGGGACCCTGGGGGACCGGCCCCCCTGCCACCACATACCCCGCCCGCCCATCCGGGGGTCCCCGCTGCTCCCTGGTCCACACGTTGAGACAAACTCAGTTCTCTGGACGCCTGGAGCCCCCCACCCTCCAGGGAGCCCGCCCGCTGCGGGTTCAGTTGGAGCCCTGGCCTGGGGGGCCGGAATCAGGCAGGGAGGCACGGCGGCCACCACCCCCGGGGGCCGGGCTGAGCACTGGGATGCGGCTGGGGCTCAGACAGGCCGGGACTCAAAGCCCAGCTCCGCCTCGCACTTCCCGAAAGGCGGGGACAGTCGCGACCCTCCCAGAGTTTCGCTCTTCCGGTCAGGACGGCACGGGGCAGGCGTTGCCGAGCACAGACTCTCCACGCGCGGCAGCATCTGCCGGGCAGCGCTCTTGCGACCAGAGTGGAGCAGTGTCGGGGCAAACGCATCCTCGGCCAGCCTGGCGCGCCCCCAGGGTCTGCCTGGGGCTGAGCAAGCTGGGGGGCCCCGGCCCAGCGGGTGGGCAGGCGGGGTCTCCTCCCCCCCCCGCCCCCCGCAGGCGCAGACTCCCCCGGGGCCGAGTCCCTTCCCGGGGAACGTGGCTGGCTCGCCTGGCGGGGCCTCCCGAAGCGCTGCCGCGGCCTGACCGCTGCGCCGGGCCCGGCGGCCCCTCTCGAGGCCTCTGGGAGAGACCGTCGCTCACGTCACGTCCAAGCGCAGCCGCGGCCCGGGACGCAGACGTCAGGCCGCCCTGACGCAGCGGCGACCCTCCGAGCGTCTGCGTGCACGCGTGCGTGTTTGCCTGTGTCACGTCAAGCTGCCCTTCTGAACGTCCCAGACCCTCCCTGGGCCCGCGTCCCGTGTGCGCGCCACCTGCCTCTCGCAAAGCGCGCGCCGCGCCGCCGCGGTGCGGCAGAGGGAAGCCCGCGCTGAGGCTCCCCGGCCTGCCGCCTGCGGGAGGCGGGGCCTCGCTCCGCGTCCTCGGCCCTGGCACCGGCCGCCTCGTTAGGTGCGGAATTTGAGAGGAATGAACGTCATCTATTTAAACAATCCTCCCAGACATAAATCGTGATGTGGGAGAGTCTTCCTCACCTAACCCGTTCGCCTGGCTGGCGTGAGCAGACACTCGCGAGGGTGTCCGCCCGGTGCCCGAAAGCGCGCTCCACCGTCCGCTTCGACCGGCCTGCGCCGGAGGTGGCGTCAGGGGACTCGCCGTCGCCGCCCCGCCCGTCGCCCCCAGCCCCCCGCCCCCGCCCGGAGGGAGCCGGCCGATCTCCGCGGCTGGTCTGTAGGAGGCGCCGTCCCCGCCCGGCTGGTTTGCTGTCCCCATTTCGATGCCACGGGATTGACGACTCCTCTCGGCTGATGAAATTACCTCGGACTTTTTTTTAAAGCACCTTCTTTCAGTTATTCTCTTTATTTACCAAGGGGATGCTCTTCCAGTCA